TTTTTTTGTAAGATTTTAGTTGATTCAAAAATCAACAATACTGAATATTATAATTGTTTGTTTTCCTATTACTTGCTAATTATTCATTTAATATTATTACTTTTAATTAGCAGCATTTTTTTACAAAGCTCATACTGATTACACAAGCATTAAATCATCTTACGCTTATATAAAAAAATATTATCGGTAATATTTGGTGCGAAATTGCTCAAAGTATCACACAAACAACAAGAAAATATAGCATTAAAAACATGAGAGTTTAATAAGTATATTAATTTAATTCAAATATAATATGTAGCTATTTTTAATTGGGTTTGTCTATTCAAGTATCTGAAAATCATAAAAGTCCGTAGAATAAAAATTAAGAAGATAGAAGAAAGTACTTATTTCCTTTAATAAACGAAGTTAAACATAAAAAATAATCTATAAATAACACGCATATTATCATATAGCATACATTAAAATGATAGACCAAAAAATCAGAAGCGTGCAAATAGCACATCATATTAATTTTTTATAACACATTGGTTACTGGGTTTTGTTTGAAGTAGATTCGTTTAGTTTTTGGTAAAAATATTTTAGCCTTTAATTGTCAGTTCTCGCTTTTATGTTATGTAAATGTGTTTAATATATAAATTATAAACCAAAGCTAATGTATTTTTATTTTTAATAATTTTTATTATACAACTAGCTGGTAATTTTCTATTGAAAGAATCTCCCAATAACATTATTGTAATAAACCAATGATATAATTAATAATATTATTATTGGATCATTACATACACCTTATTAATTAAATTCTCATAATACAATGGGGGAATTAATTAGGCCAATTATAATAAATAAGATATTACTATATCCTCTATTGATACAATAAGCTTTTCAATTGATTATATATGTATTAGTTTATCTTTTAGCCTTGGTTTTTAGTTTAGTTTAATTTCCCTTCAAATACTATAAAAATAATCAACCAATTGAACAAACCCTTACAATTATCTCAATAGCTATTCAGCTA